GGCTAATTGTCCCAAATAGAACGGCTCACTAGAGTGGAAAATAGTCTCCATCTATCTAACTGAAGAAGATAATGACCTTTTAAATAACAGGAGCAATTTTATCTCAATACCTCAATTACTGTGAACTCTCAAAATGTCAAAGTGCCGGGCACTTTCAAAATAACTTAATTTAGACATTTATAGCTCTCAGACACTGCTAGTTTCTTATCTAACCTAATTATGGGTTGTTCAGGAAATGGCGAAGCATCCCAATTAATGTTATTTTTTATAGTGATACATAGGCATGGCCTTTGGCTTCCTCCCCCACCGTGGATGCTGTGATCTGCTCACAGGGCATTTTATTTCGTTCTCTTCCGGCAGATCATGCCGTCTTTCCAACACGGCCACTGTGGGGACCGCAGCCTTCCTGCATTGCTCAGGACTCCCTCATGGAGCAGTCGTGCGCCCCACCTAGCAGAGGGTGGGTGTCTGGGGAGCAGAAAAGGCTGATCACACACGCTAAGAGTCGTAAGAGCCTTTTTTATTACAGTTGCATATGTGTTTGGAGGACACCATCAAGGAAAAGCTACCACTTAGTGGATGCAGTAGTTAAAGTAAAGGTAAAGGGACCCCTGACCATTAGGTCAAGTCGTGGCCAACTCTGGGGTTGCGGCGCTCATCTCGCTTTACTGGCCGAGGGAGCCGGTGTACAGCTTCTGGGTCATGTGGCCAGCATGACTAAGCCGCTTCTGGCGAACCAGAGCAGTGCAGGGAAACGCCGTTTACCTTCCCGCTGGAGCGGTACCTATTTATCTACTTGCACTTTGACGTGCTTTCGAACTACATCCAAGGATGTAGTAGTTATGTCCCCATAAATTCTTCTCTGTCCAATCTCTTACACTTGCACCTTCTCCAGTGGGTGCATGCGCAGAAATTATGGGTGTGTATTGCATACCCTCCAACATTTCTCTGAGGAAAATAGGAGCGTCTCATTCCATAATATATAAATTTAATAAAGTAATTTTTTTTAAAAAAACATGCCATCGCAATCCCTGCCCATCATGGCTGGTAAAATCTAGAGGGGATTGACTGTGAGAAGGGAGCTTACAGTGAACCACACAGAGGGCCTTCTCGGTGGTGGCGCCCTCCCGCCAGATGTCAAGGAAATAAACAACTCTCTGACTTTTAGAAGACATCTGAAGGCAGCCCTGTTTAGGGAAGTTTTTAATGTTTGATGTTTTATCGCATTTTTAATATTCTGTTCAGAGTCGCCCAGAGTGGCTGGGGTATAAATAATAAATTATTATTATGATTGTGACCGGATGGGTCCTCCGGCCTCTGTCTCCCAACAAAGGTCTTTATACAGGGCACCCAAGGCAGTTTCCATACCAACATTGGTATCTGTATCACGGTGGTTTTGCTCCCACCAGCAGAAAAGTAGTTATGAAGAGATGGTTGCTTGGCTCCATAGCTGTTGTGTTGAGGTTCCATTCTCTTATCTTATTTAACATTGATATGGGACTTTTGGGAGTTGTCTGCTAGGGATTTGAAAGCACAGGAAGCAAGCCCCTTAGAGCTCAGTGGGACTTACATCTGAGGAAACGTGCTTAGGATCGCATCCTTTTTTGCTTTCCCGCAGTGTTTTCTGATTGAACTAAGCAATTGGTACACTGCACCCCAACCTTTCACTTGCCTGTTTCTGTGCTTTGCTTAAATTCTTCCTCATTGTGACTGGGTGCAACAACCAGCCGGTTTAGATGATGTTTGCTGCCCCCAGAAATCCTGGACAAGCAGAATACAGTGGTACCTCAGGTTACATACGCTTCAGGTTACAGACTCCGCCAACCCAGAAATATTACCTCAGGTTAAGTACTTTGCTTCAGGATGAGAACAGAAATTGTGCTCCGGCAGCGCGGCGGCAGCAGGAGGCCCCATTAGCTAAAGTGGTGCTTCAGGTTAAGAACAGTTTCAGGTTAAGTACGGACCTCCAGAACGAATTAAGTACTTAACCTGAAGTACCACTGTGTTGTTTATTTTGTTTATATCCCGCCTTTCCTCCAAGGACCTCAAGATGCTGTTCATGTTTCTCCCCCGTCTTCAGTTTATCCCCAAGACAATCCTGTGAGGTAGGTTAGGCTGAGAGTAAGTGACTGGACCAAGGTCACCCAGTGTCCGAGTGGGGATTTGAACCCTTGTCTCCCGGGTCCCAGTCCAGCACTCTAACCCCTACACCACACTGGCTGTCTTGCATGGTGCTTGGCCAATTAGCATTGACTGGAGAAGAAGTCATGGGGAATCCACCTTCCTTGCCTTTATTGCGTGGAATGGCTCACATTAGGTATGAGAAGTGTTGTGTTTGTGTGTGAATCATTCCTTAAATGTGCGGGGAAACCAGAACAGACCCATTAGAAATTTTTAACCGGATGTACTCTTTGAGTTTTCCTGTTTAAGAAGACACCTTAAAATGGAAGAGTGGTCTAAAGAGGCGTGGGATATAGCTATTAATGCTAAGTTAACATGTGCTATTAAGGTAAGACCTTAAGGGACACACTGGTGAAATGATTTTGAGGAGATACGGAAGGTATTTGTCAAATTTGCACTGTTAAAATGGAAAGGGGTCAAACCATCGGGAGGTTGGAGAGTTACAACGGAATGGTCTCGGGGGTGGGGGGCGCACATTTTTATTTACTTTTTTATTATTACTTTGCAAAAAATTTTTAAAATAAAATAATAAGCTGGTGTCGGGGAGAAGACATCTTAGGAAAGGAGGGCACTGGTTGGTTGTAAATTAGAATAACGAAAGGCCGGAGGGCAATGTTACAGTTATTTAAAAATGAAAGAAAGCAAGTGAGACTTTGCTTGTAATGACCCTGCAATGGCATCCAGGCCAAATGAGCCAATTAGAGCGAAGTGCAATCAATTCCCACATCCTGGGATCTCTCGACAGGCAATCTCCCCTCCCGCGCTGTGTCCCCCCCCCCACCTGTACCCGCCCATGCTAATGTGATTTACTCCTGTTTGCTGATGGCGATAAAGTTTAATGTGGAAGAACAAACTATATTTAGTCAAAGCTCCTCTCTCTTTCTCTCTTCGAACGGTAGGACACACAACATTAACGTTAACAGCCTGGTGGGGAGAGGCTAATGGAGGCACACTTGTTTCCATCTCAGCATAAGACCACAGTTTACCAATGACAGCAGAAGGATGAGGAGAAATATCATGACTCAGCAACGCAGCCAGGTGCCAAGTTGTCCTAGAGAGGATGTCTGCCTTAAAAGAAAAACCCTTGCCATAAATTTCTATACCCCAAGGTTCCAAGGTGAGGCAGTCTCTTACTTTCAGAAAGTACCGTATTTTTCGCTCTATAAGACTCCCCAGACCACAAGACGCACCTAGTTTTTGGAGGAGGAAAACAAGAAAAAAAATATCCTGAATCCCAGAAGCCAGAACAGCAAGAGGGATCGCTGCGCAGTGAAAGCAGCAATCCCTCTTGCTGCTCTGGCTTCTGGAATAGCTGCGCAGCCTGCATTCGCTCCATAAGACGCACACACATTTCCCCTTACTTTTTAGGAGGGAAAAAGTGAGTCTTACAGAGCAAAAAATACAGTACTCCCTCTGGGAACTAGGCAGGGCTGTCAACAGGAAATGACATCATGGGGGAGTACTTCCTCTTAGCCCCCCCCCAAACGAGCATGAGTTCTGAAAACACGTCCCCTGCCTTCAGAATTCCCATCAGCTGATAGAGCAAAAAGATGAATGAGAAGCAAACTAGTACAACAGACATAAACATGATGTTATGTATATATTGGTGTCATGTAAGGTAATCTTAGAGGAAACGTGAGATGAATGTGCAAAACAACCAGCCAATGTGCACTTTCGCCAAGCCACATGGAGAATGTGCAGATAATCAGCACCTGAACAGGAAACGGTTTGCATTCTCTGGGGATTTATGTACAGTGGTGCCCTGCAAGACGAATGCCTCGCAAAACGAAAAACTCGCTAGACGAAAGGGTTTTCCGTTTTTCGATGCGCTTCGCAAGACGAATTTCCCTATGGGCTTGCTTCACAAGACGAAAATGTCTTGCGAGTCTTGCGATTTTTTTCACTCCCCCCCCCTTTTCTAAGCCGCTAAGCCGCTAATAGCCTTTTAGCCGCTAAGCCGCTAAGCCTTTAATAGCCGCTAAACCGCTAAACCGCTAATAGCGCTAATCCGCTAAGCCGCTAATAGGGTTGCTTCGCAAGACGAAAAAACCGCTAGACGAAGAGACTCGCGGAACGGATTATTTTCGTCTTGCGAGGCACCACTGTATCTTTCCAACAAGGAGAACATGCATGTCCCAGGTGCATTTTGTACATTCTCTGGGCAATATGTGAAAACTTTGTGACATATTTGAGAATGTGCATATGCTGCCAGAATTTGCACACGTTTCCAAGTGCTCACAGGACAACAGTTTAATTTCCTGGTATCAAGCGGTTTGTAGTTTCTTGGGGACTTCTTCCCCACCCCCTTTTTGAAGATGGGAACCACATTTTTCCGCCGTCAGTCTGCAGGGACCTCACCTGTTCTCCAAGAATTCTTAAAGATTATAGAGAAAGGCTCTGAGATCACATCTGCAAATGTCGGTGTTTGGGAACCCAAAGGGGCAAGGAGCAGAGAAGTATCCTTGGATTGCAAAGTTCTCTGGGACATCGTCCCACACCTAGAAAACCGAGAACTGTGGCTCAACTGAGAAGCTGGAGCTGTGTCTTAGCATGGGGTGCTTTTGTAGCTAACTCCCATCATCAAAAAAGAATCAAAATGCTGTTTAACATTAAAAGTGGGTGAAGTAGAGGGTTCACCACTCTCAGCTTCAAGCTTAAACAGGGCACCACATAGATTCTCAAGAAGAATAATTCTAAAGACCTTATTAAAAAAACCAAGACAGGAATGGAAGTAAAAAGAAAAGAAGAGAACGTTTTATCAATAAAGAACACAAAAAAGGAATTTAAATATGCCATCGAAAATAGGACCTGTCCTGGGTTTACATCTTGTTTTCTTCAAAGAGAATCTGAGCGTAAACAGTCATAGTAGGAATGCCTTGAGCTTCCTGGTGAGGTTTGATGAGTTCCAGTTCAGCATAGGTTAGATTCTCATCAGCGATTTTTGGCTGCAAAACACAATTGGAGAAGTGTGTCCATTCAATTGAGTTTACTGGGTAATTTGGCAGTCTGCCTTTTAGCAAACATGCGACAGCAGTAAAATGAACAACGGCAGCAGCAAAATAAATCTATGGCCCGGAGCCAGGGCTTCCCCGGTTACATATAGAATCAGTTCCTCAAACATGAATCAGAAGGTTGTATCCAACTGAGATTTATTTAGAGTAGACCCGCCGAAATTAACGGATCCAAGTTAGCCATGTCCATTAAGCTCAGTGGGCTTACTCTGAGATGACTTAATCAACAGCACATGTTTACTCAGAAGTAAGTCCCACTGATTTAAATGGGGCTTAACTCCCAAGTAAGAATGCATAGGCCTGCAAGCTAAGATGTCTATTTTATAGGCAGAAATACAAAACTTGTGTGGAAAATGCCCAATTAAAATTAGATATATAAAAAGGCAACAAGCGGCAGCAAACCCAAAGTAGAACCACTTCTCCACCCTGGTCTTCAATATATAGCTCAACAGTGTTCTTCTGAATGCTCCCTGACCTATACTGAAACCTTCAGTACATAGTGCCTAGCACTCACCTAGAAGTCATGGTAACCTTACCGGGACATTTGTAGGAAAACCGAAATGCTTTACAAAGCTATTGTACTACCAACTGTACTGTACGCGTGCGAAACAGGAACCACTTATAAATGCCATCTCTAGCTCTTCGAAAGATTCTACCAACAATGTCTATATATGTATATATATGGACCATAAAGACCATAAAGAAGGCTGATCGCCGAAGAATTGATGCTTTTGAATTACGGTGCTGGAGGAGACTCTTGAGAGTCCCATGGACTGCAAGAAGATCAAACCTCTCCATTCTTAAGGAAATCAGCTCTGAGTGCTCACTGGAAGGACAGATCCTGAAGCTGAGGCTCCAATACTTTGGCTACCTCAGGAGAAGAGAAGACTCCCTGGAAAAGACCCTGATGTTGGGAAAGATTGAGGGCACAAGGAGAAGGGGACGACAGAGGACAAGATGGTTGGACAGTGTTCTCGAAGCTACCAGCATGAGTTTGACCAAACTGGTCACGAAGAGTTGGACACGACTAAACGACTAAACAACAACAAATTATATATATATATAATCACTTGGAAAGACAGGCAAACTAAATGTCAGTGTACTGGAAGATGCAATGATTCTTCAACATCAATTTTGTTAGACTAGTCATGTTGTTTGGATGTCTGATTATCATCTTCCAAAGCAACCACTCTATTCCCAACTTAAAAATGGAAAGCATAATGCTGGTGGTCAACAAAAGAGCTTTAAAGATGCACTCAGGGCAAATTATTTTTTTTTTAGTATAAACACCGACAACTGGGAAACACTGGCCTGTGAGCGCTCCAACTGGAGAACAGCCTTTACCAAAAGTGCCATGGACTTTGAAGACGCCTGAACCCAGGACGAAAGGGAGAAATGTGCCAAGAGGAAGGCACACTTGGCAAATCCTCACCGTGACCAACTCCCGCCCAGAAACCTATGTCCCCGCTGTGGAAGGATTGGATTCCACAGTCACTTATGGACAAACTGTTAAGACCATATTCATGGAAGACAATCTGAGTTGGCTATGAGCGATCACAGAAGAAGAAGAAGAAGAAGAAGAAGAAGAAGAAGAAGAAGAAGAAGAAGAAGAAGAAGAAGGTGGTAAACATAGAAACCAGGTAGATCAGGGAGGTTACATTGGAACTCTCTTCATTGACATGCTCTCTTTCTGTCTGTGCTGTGATATATATTAGAATTCAGCCATGTCAGTCTCCATTTGGAGGGTTCAAGTAGTCTAGTGCAGATGGTAAAGGTTTTCCATAGGCCTCACATATGAGGAAGCATGACTGGATGAACTCTAGAGTTCGGTTTCAGGAGGCTAGGCCCATTTAGCCTTTGTGTTTTGCTCTTGTGGGCACCTTCTGTTCATGCCAAACCAACAGGCCCTTTTCTTCCCCTCCTTGATTACATTTCTCATTCCAATTCCATCCCAAAACATCATGAATCCAAAAACGGCCCTGCAACACCCAGCTCATGTAAATTTTAGAGCTAAGATTTATGAAATCACATTGTCCAGGTGTATTATTATATTATCTGGAAATTGCATTGTTTTCTTGGGTAGATTATCTCTTTATTCCTACTTTATTCTATTAAGTTTGGATATGAAAAATAACACTCGATTCTTCCAATACAGGTCACCGGGCAGCATTGGCTGATGTGTTACTTTCATACATTTTTATGATGTTCCTATAGTAAACATAATTTAATAAAGCCAAAACACACTAAATAAATAATTGCATCTAGAAAAGCAATAAAAGCAAATAAAATTAGTACTTTCATAAGTGGAAAAGGTACTTCAATTACTGCTACAAGCAACGGCGCACCATAAAATGTGTAGAATAATTTCCCTTATGCATATTTCCAGTATGTAATAATTTGATTGAAAATATGAGGAAACACACAGGAGGTTCAAAATTGTGGAGCACATACAGTTCTCGACAAAGGATGTGTAATAACTGAGCATGGGAGATACAGCTTTATCATAGCCCCTTTCCCAGGCAAAAATCGGAGGAGGGGTGTGTGCGCTGCCATTGTCTATCTTTAATTATATTTTGCCAAGTTTGCTTAGTTGGAAAGAGAGCTTTGCGCGATGAAAGTTAAGATGAAACTTTCCCAGCGTGTAACCGCATAGGCTTCTCAGAACACCATTTTGACCTGGAAATTAAAGCAGCAACAGCTGCAACAAAATGGGCACCCAAACCCAACTGCTGGAGACAGCAGGGGGCCCTTGTGATTCCCCCCACCCCCCCAAAAAAATATATTCTCGATGCTTTAGAAAGCACTTGTGAAGTATATCATGGAAGAAAATAGATTTAGGGCAGAAATGTAGAGCCAACGACATCATCTCTGCCCACGCCCAGAAAATGCCATAAAATTGGAACAGATGTTGGGGCAGCAAGGCAATGGGGAGAACGGCCCTCTTTAATAGGGCTTCTCTTGATGACCAACTGCAATTCACCATTGGCTCTTCTCTTCCTAATACAGTTGTGCCTTGGAAGTCGAACGGAATCCGTTCCAGGTCCATTTGACTTCCAAGACGTCCGAAAACCAAAGCGCGGCTTCCGTTTGGCCGCTGGAAGCTCCCACAGCCAATTGAAAGCCCCGATGGACATCCGGCTTCCAAAAATAGCTCACAAACCAAAACAGTCACTTCCAGGTTTGCGACATTTGGGAGCCAAAACGTTTGAGAACTAAGCTGTTCGAAAACCAAGGTGCGACTGTACACAAACATGCTGGCGAATAGTTGTGGCAATCTTTGTTTCTCTTTCTGAAGCTGCTGGGTGGTGGTTAATAGTTTTCAGCATGTTTTTGCTGTTAATGGGGAAAGAGATGGGTACTTGACATGATTCATATGCCTGGCAGTTTCCAGCAACAAGAGAAAAGATATTGGCCTCTCGTAACTTTTTCTTTGAATGGAGAAAAGGCAGGTTGGGAATAGTTGTGAACAAGCAAATGGCAAGGAAGAAGGGTGTTAACCAGCCCTCTCTGCTTAGTGTGGGTGATTTTAAGAGTTACCAAACACCTCTCCAAAGAGGGCCATCTGCAGTGCTAGACACTAGATTCATTCACCCGTCAACACCAAGACTTGTGATTCTGGTGGGTCAGTCCATGTAGACTACATGGAACTCAATAGACCAATGGTCTGACTTACGCAACTTCCTATGTTCCCAATCACTCCAAGGCTCCAGGCCCTGTGGAAGCACTCAAGGAAAGACTCACAAGGAGCAATGGGAAGGAGGAATCTGACACCATGACGCTGTCATGGTCACCGCAAAGATCCCCAAACTGCACTGTACCAATTGGGAGCCCAGTGCTGATTCTGAGGCCACCATGAAACTCTGCAGAGTCCCAATGTGGTCAGTAGGGCTGGGCGATAAAGCAATATTTCACCCAAAATCCATATTGTGATACTGATTTTGGACCTGTCGTGGGAAAAACCGTGAAGCCAGCCAATGCCTCAACAAAGTTCCATCCTTATTTCAAACCTTGCGATATATCAGTAGAGTTAAAGCTATGGTTTTCCCAGTAGTGATGCATGGAAGTGAGAGCTGGACCATAAAGAAGGCTGATCGCCGAAGAATTGATGCTTTTGAATTATGGTGTTGCAGGAGACTCTTGAGAGTCCCATGGACTGCAAGAAGATCAAACCTCTCCATTCTGAAGGAAATCAGCCCTGAGTGCTCACTAGAAGGACAGATCCTGAAGCTGAGACTCCAAGACTTTGGCCACCTCATGAGAAGAGAAGACTCCCTGGAAAAGACCCTGATGATGGGAAAGATGGAGGGCACAAGGAGAAGGGGACGACAGAGGATGAGATGGTTGGATAGTGTTCTCAAAGCTACCAGCATGAGTTTGACCAAACTGCGTGAGGCAGTGGAAGACAGGGGAGCCTGGCGTGCTCTGGTCCAGGGGGTCACGAAGAGTCGAACACGACTAAACGACTAAACAACAACAACAACATATCACGATGTTGAAACACAGGTATTGCCCACCCCTAGTGGTCAGTACTTTTCTTTCTGCCTCCAAATAATTGGGGGGAGCCATAGAAAATCACTTTTGTGGGAGCGAATCAGCCCCATGGGCCAGCAGTTGACCACCTCTAGCCTCTTAGCCTGGAGAAGAGGAGGTTAAGGGGTGATATGATAGCCATGTTCAAATATATAAAAGGATGTCACATAGAGGAGGGAGAAAGGTTGTTTTCTGCTGCTCCAGAGAAGCGGACACGGAGCAATGGATCCAAACTACAAGAAAGTAGATTCCACCTAAACATTAGGAAGAACTTCCTGATAGTAAGAGCTGTTCGACAGTGGAATTTGCTGCCAAGGAGTGTGGTGGAGTCTCCTTCTTTGGAGGTCTTTAAGCAGAGGCTTGACAACCATATGTCAGGAGTGCTCTGATGGTGTTTCCTGCTTGGCAGGGGGTTGGACTCGATGGCCCTTGTGGTCTCTTCCAACTCTATGATTCTATGATTCTTATGACCTCTGCTGTAGTCTGTGGGAAAGGTTAGGAAATGACAATGTTGCCAATTGTTCTGGCAGTCCAGTCTCATCATTTGATGAGGCCCTGAGACACTGTGTACCTAGCTTGTTATTACATTTTGTAATGGGCAAAATAGAGGCGTGTGCATTTGGTGGAGGCCATATGCATTTCCATTTTGTATATTTCCTTTTTTTAAAAACAGAAGTATTAGCTATATATATCTGCAACTAAACAGCAAATGTCATCTAGCACAATATCTGCATATTACTATTATTATTATTATTATTATTAAAAAATAGCCAATATATGTACTGCAATTCTCCATTAACATTTTTGTATTAGGGAAAACTGGGGGGTTGGGGGGTGGGAGAAGTGTCATCTGTAAAAACTGTGTGAGTGTGTTTGTGGGCGGGTGGGTTAAACTCCCTATATCTAAAGTGCTCCTCTACATTTTACCAAAACTAATAGGCATGAAATCTGATCCTGGATCACTGCAAGCTTGTCAACTTCAGAACCAAGCCTTCCCTGCTATTTTAGGCAGACCCAGAATTTATTTTGGAAAGGGAGAAGTTTAAAAAGTGCTTACACACACAGTCTGGCAGAAGGATACATTCAAGTTACACATACAGAATCCTTGCCAGCTGTGCTGGCAGCTGTTGAGAGGGGGAGCTGAATTTCGCCCTCCCTGCTCTACATCTCCTTCCCTTGCTAAACAGCTGATGGGCACCATCCTGTAACTTCTCAGAGGTTTCAAGTGAATAGGAGGTCTTTAAATAGTGGGTACTAGGGCATTTTTCCTGGGCCACAAATGAAGAAGCCCACCTGATATCTAGTCTATGGTCTAAAGGTAAAGGTAAAGGACCCCTGACAGTTAAGTCCAGTCGTGAACGACTCTGGGGTTGCGGCGTTCATCTCACTTTATTGGCCATGGGAGCAGGCGTTTGTCCGCAGACAGCTTCTGGGTCATGTGGCCAGCATGACTAAGCCGCTTCTGGCGAACCAGAGCAGCGCACGGAAACGCCGTTTACCTTCCCGCCAGAGCGGTACCTATTTATCTACTTGCACTTTGATGTGCTTTCGAACTGCTAGGTGGGCAGGAGCAGGGACTGAGCAATGGGAGCTCATCCCGTCGCGGGGATTCAAACAGCCAACCTTCTGATTGGCAAGTCCTGGGCTCTGTGGTTTAACCCACAGCACCACCCGCGTCCCAAAAATCTATGGTCTACCTTCCAGCGGATAGGGGACGTGTTGGGGACGCGGGTGGCGCTGTGGGTAAAACCTCAGTGCCTTGGACTTGCCGATCGCATGGTTGGCGGTTCGAATCCCCGCGGCGGGGTGAGCTCCCGTCGTTCGGTCCCAGCTCCTGCCCACCTAGCAGTTCAAAAGCACCCCTAAGTGGAAGTAGATAAATAGGTACCGCTTACCTAGCGGGAAGGTAAACGGCGTTTCTGTGTGCTGCGCTGGTGCTGGCTCGCCAGAGCAGCTTCGTCACGCTGGCCACGTGACCCGGAAGTGTCTCCGGACAGCGCTGGCTCCCGGCCTCTTGAGCGAGATGAGCGCACAACCCTAGAGTCGGACATGACTGGCCCGTACGGGCAGGGGTACCTTTACCTTCCAGCTAAAATGAGCTATGCACCTAGAAGGCACAAGCAAAACTTGTCACTATAGTTAGGAGGGAATCCTATCCACGCAATCACCTGGGTGAAAGTGAGAATTGGATATGCCTTTGTTGGGCTACTCACCAGAAGGACTTTCCTTTGTGGTTTCAGAAGCTTGGGCTTGGGGAAAGAGGTGGATATTGGTGCTGTAAAGGTAAGAACAGAACGGCGAGGAATTACTCCTTATTTCTGCAAAATGGGTTCCTTCTAGGACATGCAGAAACTCTCCTAAGCTTTGACTCAGGGAAAACCTGCCAAAATAATGGAAAGGCAAGGCAAACGGCACTCCAGATTCAACAGTTTGCACATAGGAATGCACTGCCTTGCCTAGCAATCTGCACCATCTGCTCAAAAAAGCAGGGTTTTCCAACCACAGCCTTGTGGTCAAAGAGATTGCAATGTTCACACAAAGAACCAAAAGTCCTTATTAAAAACAAACAAACCCATAGCTTTAAAGGGCTAAAAGAAACAGAGGCACCCTGAAAATCAAGGCACAGGCACGCTGATTGATCCAGGAACCACCTTCAAACCAAAGCTTCCATCTCCAGGCCATGGGTTCAAGCCCCATGTTGGGCAAAACATTCCTGCATTGCAGGGGGTTGGACTAGATGACCCTTGAGGTCCCACATAGATTCAAGATGATTCTATGTAGAGCATCCCACGCCAATTGAGGAATTCCCTGCAGAAGAACTTGCACAACCAATATCCCGTCCTCATCCAGTTACCACTTGGGGAATCTTTCTGAAAAATGAGTAATTTTCCTTATCAGTTGCTTGGATGAAATAGTAGGCTTGGATTCACCACCACCCTACCTATCAAACAACCAGTTGATGCAATTATTACTTTTGGAAGACTGCTTTCTGTGCACACAGCTCCACTTGCTGCGTGAGAGTAAATTACAGTTGGATCAGGGCCAAACCTGGGACGTACTGGAGTTGATCTCGCATGGGTGCTGCTGTAGCAGCAGGTAGATCAAGGGTGAAGAATTGGAACTGGCCTACCTGTCAGTCATCTGACACTAGTTGATTGTCACCTGTCAGATTTCAAAGGGTGATGTCAGATGGTATCAGAGGAACTGCTGATCAGAGGTTACCACAATCTCCTTTGAAGACACGCTTTTCAATAGGCTGATGGCACTGGGAGCATTGCCGTCAAAGGGACCAGCTATAACTGCTGACTGGTGCTAATGGTGAGCCCCTTTTAAAGTTCGTTTAGAACTCTCTCCTGATGCACCAATATCCTTTTGTTGTTGTTGCTACATGGTGCGCACTGTCAGGAGCTTGTCCTATACTCGAGTAGGACCCTGGCAGAGACACATGCCCAACTGGCATGTTCTCTCCCTCCTGGTCGACCGTTCGGGAGCTTCAAAAGCTTTCTTCAGCCCGAACATCACAGTGACCGATGCCAACAGACATCGGCACACTTAGGGATTCACAGAGTTTTCGCAGTTCGTGTGACAGAACTCAGCATTTTGGCTAATCTACTTTTATTTACATATAAACATACATGGAGCACTGCAACATGGCTCCCTCCCTCTCTAGCATCAGGCAGCAAAGAGAAAGAACAAAGGACAATAGTCCCACTTCACTGAACACAGTAACACAAACATCCTGTCTCCGTCACTTCCCACTCTGTGGAGTCAAAACATACACCATCATGTGATAGACAACAATCTCATGACTGCAATCATGGAGCGGGAATTCTAACATGTGGTTCAGTAAACTATGCTGGAAAAAAGATGCAAACCAAAAACTGGCACGTCCTCAAGTTCTGGAGTTCATCCGATGTTCTCCAGGACAAACCAGAAGGCTGGTCGAGTCAAACATGAGAAAGAAGCAACTCGCAGACCAACAACGAAACTGAACAAGGGTTGTCCACCCATTGCCAATTCTGGACTGTGAAGATTTGGTAACTTACATCTTGGCCACTTCTTTGGACCCAGCAAACCACCCACCACAACATGCAGCTCAGGAGGTAGCACACACCTTTCGCTGGGATGGCAGGTGGCTGCTCAACTTTCTTCTTCTTCTTCTTGATTTTCACAGGCTGTTCTGCAGACAAGCTTGTCACACTGGTGACCGTTTCCCCTAAGCTGAGAAACAAGAGAGCCTGGTGAATAGAGAGCAGGAGAAGAAAAGCACATAAAACCCTCTCTGGGATCTTTAATTCAAGGTTCATTTTAAAAGGGTAGTCTCTTCTCCAAAACCTTAACCAATATCTGCCTTATTAAGCATCTCTCTCTCTCTCTTGAGTGTTTGTTGGTTTTCAGTTGTCTCCGCATCATCTGATGAACCTTCATCACTGTATTCTTACGAAGACCAGCTAAGCATGCCAGTGTGGAGGCTGAATTTTTGTGAAGTCACCAAACATTATATTCCCTCCTGGTTGCCCCAAGATAGGAATACACACTAGTGGTTGGCTTCCATTTCGTTATTGTGAATAATTTCAATCAAAGCAAATGCAGAAATGGGACATCCATTAGTAGGAAGACGTTTCTCAAGGGGAAAACAGATGTGATAATCTAATCAGTTTTTTTGCCAACCTTGAGTTCAGATATTTTGGACCACAACTCCCACGCTAGTTGGGGCTGATGGGAGTTGTAGTCTTCGCCCAAAATATCTGGAGGCCGCCAAGTTGGCAAAAGCTGATCTAAAATGGTTTGCACACACATTCACTGCTCTGAAATCACATTACGGATTTCTACCACAACATCTACCACACTTATGTTTCTCTTGGTCTTCCCCCCTAAATTTGATTCAACTTCATTATTACAAGCACTGATGGAGTTTATTGCATCTTCCCCTCTCAGGACACTATGAGAAGTTTGACTCCCCCCACATGTTTTCGTTACATTAAATTGTTTGTTTTTAAGTATTTATAACCTGCTCTTCACTGAATATTTCAATCCCAGAGCGGGGAAACGATGAAATGAAATAGTAATATGAATGTACAGCTAGCAATATACAAAAATTACAGAATCCATGAAAGCCAGTCCAATGAATAAAACAAATTAATTGCTCCAAAATAAAATAAACAAAGCTGGTATGGACAACAATTAGAATTTCCAATTTAACCTTGTATCACTATAGTAATTTACACAGAGGCCTAGTTTATACAGAAAGCAGAATCAAGAATACTGTTCTTGGACCTCAAAAACACTAATATTTTTGTGCTCCCCTAGAAGAACAACTTCCTGTGCTTAGAAAATCAGTACATCTGGGAATAAACTAGGCTAAAATATTTCCCTAAGGCTAGCATAGGCCAGCTCGACCCTCCAGATGTTTTGGGACTACAACTCCCATCATCCCTGACCATTGGTCCTGCTAGCTAGGGATGATGGGAGTTGTAGTCCCAAAAAGTCGGGAGGGCCGAGTTTACCTATACCTGCCCTAAGGTTTAAGTATTTTACTTGCAGGGAGAATTTTATCAGCAGGAGGTGGAGAGCATTCAACTATAGTCTGAAATGGTGTAGTCCAAGGGTCGGCAACCTAAGGCCCATGGGCCACAAGTGGGCCACGGGGGTCGTTTTACTAGCCCACGAGCCACTCCCGAACCGAGCTGCCCAGGTTTGGGGTTTCAGAGACAGTCATTGGGGTTTGATACTGCTTATCTTTGCCCTGTTTATCGTGCTGGTTCTGCTGCTGTTTATTGGCACTGTTCAGTTCAGTGTTTCCTAAACTTGGGTACCACTCAACCGACAAGCAGTCGGCGGGAGCCACTTTGGATTCAGATGTGGAATGGGACCTCAGGAGAGTAGGTCCTCATGGAGTTCCTATGTATGAAGCACCAGTAGGTTAAAGATCTTCATGACCAGTGAATAGAATTATTTCTGCACAGGTCATACTGATCTTCCCAAGAAACCTGGAGCGTGTGAGAACTAGTGGAAATGCATATTAGAGAAGCTCTGGGAGACCCAAAGGCACCTGCTGCTTCCACTTACAAGAACTGGGAGAAGAGCAACCTTTTCTCAGCATTTGTCGTACAATTTTAGCGGTCTAATACTGGGGCTCTCCAAAGAATACCGTATTTTTCACTCTATAGGACACACTTTTCCCCCTCCAAAAATTGAGGGGAAATGTTTGTGCGTCCTATGGAGCGAATGCAGGCTCCTTGGCTTCAGCGAAAGCAACGCGAAGCCTCCGAAGCGCAGAGGGAGCGTTCCCTTCGCGCTCTGGAGGCTTTGCGTTGCTTTCGCTCTTTGGTCTCTTTGGGGCTGGGGGGGGAAATAAGATTTTTTTCCTTGATTTCCCCCTCTAAAAACTAGGTGCACCCTATGGTCCGGTGCGCCCTATGGAGCGAAAAATACAGTACTTCCTGGTACAGGCTCTACAAGCTCAGAACCAGGTCAGCCAGGACATTCTGGTTTGCCTGCTCAGCCTCATCTAAGATAGAAGAAGGACCTCCACTAGAGGATTCCTTGATCTGATGCCTCCTTGGCAGAGCACGGTGTGGCCTTGCTAAGAATTCCATCGGTGGGGATGAGGAGATGCTTGTTCCGTATCCTGTGAAAGAAGGCTTTCAAGGTGAGACAAGCTCCTTTAAAAAGGCCATTAATCCACATGATTGGTTCTGGCAAAGATGGAAAGTTGCCATGTCCTCATGGACTTGACAAAAGGGAGCTTCATTCTTATGACAGCAAGTTATTGGCATTTTCCTCCATCATTAGGGTCCACTGCCTTGGAGACAAGGGCATCCAACCAGGGTATTTTAAGATATGGTTACCAGATTTTTTCCAGTGAATCCGGGGACACTTTTTTTTTGAAGCTCAGTAGCAACAGGGAGTCAGCAGTGAGGATGGTGAGGCAAAAGACCCTGGGCCCAAGCACACATGCATATTGTATAAAGGTGCAAAGCCCTTCTTTCGCACCCTGTGAAACATAAATGCGTAGTTTTTAAAGAACTGGGCAACGGTGCACTGCCCACCCGTGACTAACCTTTTTATTATATGTTAAGATATATATTTGTGAGACAGAAAATAAGCAAAGCAATCCGTAAAAACTATTTGGAGAAAGGTAAAACAAGATTATATGTCTTGTCTCCTTTTCCTACCTGTTCTGGGAACACTTCACCAAGTAATGTTTCACTGTGAAAAACAGTGGAGAAAGAAAAGTAGGGGAGAAAGAAAGGCATTGTTTAAGCAATTGCCATCTTCTTGTTACTCAAAAAGGTGGAACAGAGGAAAAAGCACATTCTTCATTCAGGCAGTGGCCAGCTAGGTAGGCCCATGATGCAAAGCCACAGGACAAGTCAAAGACAGTGTTTCCCTCTTCTCTGGTCCACAGGCTGAGACCCCACTTGCCTGCGGACTGTCTCGCCAGAGTGGTGCATGCTCTGGTTATCTCCCGCTTGGACTACTGCAATGCACTCTTTGTGGGGCTACCTTTGAAGGTGACCCGGAAACTGCAATTAATCCAGAATGCGGCAGGTGACTGGGAGTGGCCGCTGAGACCATATAACACTGGTCCTGAAAGACCTACATTGGCTCCCAGTATGTTTCCGAGCACAATTCAAAGTGTTGGTGCTGACCTTTAAAGCCTTAAATGGCCTCAGCCCAGTACACCTGAAGGAGCGTCTCCACCCCCATCGCTCAGCCCGGACACTGAGGTCCAGCGCTGAGGGCCTTCTGGCAGTTCCCTCACTGCAAGAAGTGAGGTTACAGGGAACCAGGCAGAGGGCCTTCTTGGTGGTGGCGCCCACCCTGTAGAATGCCCCCCCCCATCAGATGTCAAGGAAATAAGCAACTATCTTACTAGACATCTGAAGGCAGCCCTGTTTAGGGAAGTTTTTAATGTTTAATGCTGTATTGTGTTTTTACTATTTGGCTGGGAGCCGCCCAGAGAGGCTGGGAAAACCCAGTCAGATGGGAGAGGTATTAATAAATTATTATTATTATTATTATTATTATTATTATTATTATTCCTACTACTATAGATTTTCTCAGCAGAATGAACGAAGGAAGCTTCAAGTGTATTTGAGAGAGAGAGAGGAAGAAAGAAATATTATCTGCAAAATCAGAATTGTGATAATGCTATAACTTAAACAAATTACAATGTTGTGGCATGTTCATCACAAGGGTAGTAGTTAATCAAGCAAAATACTGCCATCATAAAGATAAAAAGCAAAGAAATGTGAATAAAAACAAATTGCATTTGCCTTAAAGTTATGAGTTAAATTTCTCCCAATAACAGTTCATTGCATCTTCATTATTCCAAAAGAAAACTGGGAAGTCCACTTCTCTGTTCATTTGCTATCCTGTTGTCTACCTGCTTTCCTCATACTTATGATATGGCATGTCCCAATTTCTTGTGCTCCCAAATATTTGCAATCCATGAATCGGTCATAGGCAGACTAGCTCTCTTCCGGGGATAGGAAACAGCCATACAAGGTTGCCGTCAGCGAGTAAACGGTCATTTACAAATCGTCTGTTAGAACTGTCCCTTTAAGATAGCAAAATGATATTACTAAAGGTTCTTTTGGCAGACCATATCTCTTGGAGGTTTTAATTTATGCTAAAATAGAACCCCAGAAGATGTTGATCTGGGAGCATTATCAGAGAATATATCCGTTTGTTCCTGAAGCTCTGGCATTTCAAATATTGATCTAGCATTAGGAAATATTTGATTCAATTTTGCTGGTGTCAGATACTATATCCATAATAACTGAGAGGAATTCTCTTTAACATGTATAATTCATACGCGTTGTGAGTTGGGGAAGGCTTTAATAGAAACAGAGTAATAGAAACAAACCCAAAACAGTAATGTGCATGGAAATGGGTGGTGAATTGTGAGTACTGTAAAACAGCTCTAAAAACAAAACAAAAAAAACAAATGGGGGTTGGACTAGATGACCCTTGAGGTCCCTTCTAACAATTCTATGATTCATTAAACGAAAAGCAAAAACATGACTATGTGCAAAACAATATGGCAAGATATGTTGTTGTTGTTGTTTAGTCGTGTCCGACTCTTTGTGATCCCATGGACCAGAGCACGCCAGGCACTCCTGTCTTCCACTGCCTCCCGCAGTTTGGTCAAACTCATGCTGGTAGCTTCAAGAACACTGACCAACCATCTCGTCCTCTGTCGTCCCCTTCTCCTTGTGCCCTCCATCTTCCCCAACATCAGGGTCTTTTCCAGGTAGTCTTCTCTTCTCATGAGGAGGCCAAAGTATTGGAGCCTCAGCTTCAGGATCTGTCCTTCCAGTGAGCACTCAGGGCTGATTTCCTTCAGAATGGATAGGTTTGATCTTCTTGCAGTCCATGGGACTCTCAAGAGTCTCCTCCAGCACCCTAATTCAAAAGCATCAATTCTTCAGCAATCAGCCTTCTTTATCGCCCAGCTCTCACTTCCATACATCACTACAGGGAAAACCATAGCTTTAACTATACGGACCTTTGTTGGCAAGGTGATGTCTCTGCTTTTTAAGATGCTGTCTGGGTTTGTCATTGCCTTTCTCCCAAGAAGCAGGCGTCTTTTAATTTCGTGACTGCTGTCACCATCTGCAGTGATCATGGAACCCAAGAAAGTAAAATCTCACACTGCCTCCATTTCTTCCCATTCTATTTGCCAGGAGATGATGGGACCAGTGGCCATGATCTTCGTTTTTTTGATGTTGAGCTTCAAAGCATATTTTGCGCTCTCCTCTTTCACCCTCATTAAAAGGTTCTAACAATTCTACGATTCATTAAATGAAAAGCAAAAACGTGACTATGTGCAAAACAATATGGCGAGATATAATGGTATTGCTAAATGCACACAAAAGCGTCCTTTATCTGCCTCAGCCTTTCCTCATCACTCACCACGGGAGCGTTTTTTGTTGATCAGTGTCTGGCAGAGGACAACCACGGTGAACAGCAGGACACTGACGATTCCTATGGAGCACACGAACACAGCGTAGACATACAGGTCTGAAAGGCAAACCACGGATGAGTATCACCCATCTGCTTTCATGTCTACCCAAGAAAGAATACACAAGTTTTGAACAAAAGTAAAAACACGCTTGGAGCCCCGGACCCAAAATCTTGGCAAGAAAGGTGTGAAAGGAGAAGAATATTACAGTGCTACCTTGGGTTAAGAACTTAATTTGTTCTGGAGGTCCGTTCTTAACCTTAAACTGTTCTTAACTTGAGGTACCACTTTAGCTAATGGGGCCTCCTGCTGCCGCTGCCGCGCGATTTCTGTTCTCATCCTGAAGCAAAGTTCTTAACCCGAGGTACTATTTCTGCGTTAGCGGAGTCTGTAACCTGAAGTGTCTGTAACCTGAAGCATCTGTAACCCGAGGTACCACTGTACCAACCATCCATATTGGGCAAGACCAAAGACCTGCTCTACCAAGAATCTTGCCTTTAACAGTGAGCCGACACAGAGGTCAAAAAAGGTAAAGGTAAAGGACCCCTGGACGGATTAAGTCCACTCAAAGGCGATAATGGGGTTGCAGTGCTCATCTCGTTTTCAGGCCGAAGGAGCTGGTGTTTGTCCACAGACAGCTTTCTGGACCATGTGGCCAGCAGGACTAAACCGCTTCTGGTGCAATGGGACACTGTGACTTAATCCAGAGCGCACAGAAACACCGTTTACCTTCCCGTCACAGCGGTACCTATTTATCTATTTGCACTGGTGTGCTTTAGAGCTGCTAGGTAGGCAGGAGCTGGGACAGAGCAATGGGAGCTCACCCTGTCACGGGGATTCGAACCACCGACCTTCTGATCGGCAAGCCCAAGAGGCTCAGTGGTTTAGACCACAGCGCCACCTGCATCCCTTATACCCGACACAGAGGTACTTGATAAAAGGCTTAAATGATAAAAGGTTTAAACTTATTGAGAGAAATGAGGTTATAGGGAACCAGGCAGAGGGCCTTCTCGGTAGTGGTGCCCTCCTGTCAGATGTCAAGGAAATAAACAACCACCTGGCTTTTAGAAGACATCTGAAGGCAGCCCTGTTCAGGGAAGTTTTTAATGTTTGATGTCTCACTGTGGCAGTGGCAGGGGTGAGGAGGAGCATCATAAGACACCACTTGCCGGCTCGGTCATTGGTTTATTTGCCTGGCTGGCAAGGAATCAGCTGAGACCAATAATGAGGAAGAGCTGCAATAGCAGGTAATAATGGCTGCGAAAAGGCAGGTTCCCTGAGGAATGGGAGGGCTAGAGCTTTTCTATAATATTATACTTTGCATACATTCAGAATCTGGCAAGTGTTCCACATCCCTTCTCTGGTGGAATTTTGCTGCCTCTTGAAAAGGCTTTTCGCCTGCCTCTTAGTCAGTTTTCTTCCCCTTTCTCATTTTTATGGCCTTGTTTATATTTTCTCCACTACCCTTCTGTCAGCTTTGAAAGCTGCTTCTTGTGACTGACTTTCAGTTTCTGTATTTCTTAGTCACCTGGAACAAATTCGTTTTGAACTAGAAACGAGAGGATGTGAACATTCCTAACAAAGCAAATAAAATTACTGTTTGGAGATTGCATGAAAGATTTCCACAACGCCAGGAAAATGTGATATCGGAGTTCAAAAACGTTTTGTTTGGCAGATAGCAACGAAACTGCACATCTTCCCTATAGAAGGGAGGATTTCAAACAAGCAGAGAGACACTGCAAGCCAATGACTTCACTCCAAAGGCAAGTGAACCCAAAGGCTCTAATATTCCATAAAATATTTGTGGTAACAATCCAACATGTTTAAAACCAGACTCATCGACATGAATTTTAGTCACATTTCAAGAGCAAAGGTCTGTCTGTCTCTCTCAAGCTTTTTGTACCCATCTTCATCTATAAGGAACAGTTTGAATCATTTCAGTTTCTGAAAACTTCCCCGGTTTTTGTCCAAATTAATTTCTGTTCATTTAGTAAGATGCTCTTTAATGACAATGAATGTTGAATACGCAACACTTGCTATTCTACTCTTTATATTATATTCAGTCAGGCTTACCCACATATAAATGTCCCCCCAATATTTTATTCAAGTTGGCACCAAATCAATCAATCAATCAATCAATCAATCAATCAATAAAGGCAAAGAGCCCTGGCACCTTCTCCCCTACTTACAGAAAGCAGGATTATGTGCCAATTACATTTAGAGCCCTGAAGCATTTTTTTTGGTGACTCCTGGTTAAAGTAAATGTGTAACTATGGCTGTAACCCTTCTAAGAGCTCCTAAAACCAGTGGGTGCAAAACTTTATGGGGTGTGAGTGTTTTGGCGTACTTCCCCCATAAGAAAAAGCAAGGCTGCACAACGGTACTTTTCAGTGGATTCTCACATCTTCACGAAGATGAACAAAGGGGGGAAGCGTATACTTAACCCTCAAAGAACTTCCAGGCCTTGTGGTTTTTCTCTGGATTGGAGTCATCCGAAACTCTGGATGAAATCACTGCAATGGAACACACAAGAGCATTGGCAAACTAGTCACACACTTTTCAAAAGGTCTCACTGTGAAAGCGGATTGCAGGTCAACAAAAGCAAGCAGCCGATTCCCTAAGCCAGGCACCCCGAAACTCGGCCCTCCAGATGTTTTGGGACTACAATTTCCATCATCCCTGGACTTCCGGGGTGGCGCCATCGGCAATGGCGGACTCCCTCCGAACTGGAGGGACCAGCTCCGCATGAAACGGGTCTTTTCCGCTGCGGTGAAGTGGGGACCCTTCTGGAAATCACAGGCGGATGAAGCCTGTGACCGTGGGACTCGGCGGGCACCCTTAGCGCCCCCCCAACCCGCAAAGGAACCCACAAACGGGCTCCGAAGCGAAGAGGGGGAAGTGGCGCGGTGCTGTGAGTCAATCGCTTTTCCTGCGGAGCGAAGCCGCATAGCTGTTGCCGGAGAGCGCTGCCTTTTTCCTGGGACAATTTGGCATCTAAAATAACCAACCGTGAGTACTGGAACATTGAATATCTGGACTTAAATAAGAACTGGAGAAATAGAAAGGAATTTGGACTTAAAATTTACCCTAATTTGGTACTGAAACGGAAAGGTTTAAGCCTTCCGTTTCCCTGTAGCCAGAACAAAGCAAAGACAACGCAAACTAGAGCTTTAAAAATCACTCTTAAAGGATTGACTTTCATCATTTAAAATTGCTGAATCCCCCTTCGGTAGCAGGAGAAGAAGGGGGAGCTTTTTTCGAGCTGTTTAAACCTGCAGAAGTGAATCTAAAGCAAAGTAATTTTCCACCGTCCTGATCCTGGAGCGGGGTGTCAGAATTGACGTTTGAAGCTCACTGACCAGAAACAAATGTCTTTGACAGATAGTTAAAAGAAGAGAAACATAGTGACTCCATTGCTCCCTTTCACATCTTAAAAGAAGAAATATGGACAAAATATCTTTAAAAAGAAACTTTGTTGCTATTGTTTTTAAGAGAAAGAACAATCAGAAGTTTTCCCCCTAGAGGGGAACTGTGAAATTGTAACTAATCCCTGGGAGCTTGCAGCTGTCACTGATTACAACCGTGGGAAAGGGTTTGTGACCTTGCAGGACAATGTCTGCAGAAGCACTGTTGGGTGCTTTCTGCAAAATAAATGCCCTATTGGATCAGTTAAGCCAGAAGACGGATTTGATGACGAATGCGGCCAGAACCTTTGAACAGGTAGTGGGAAACTATATGGAGCCCACCCAGGAACTAAAACAGGAGCGTGCCATGACAGAACAGCTGAGAGATGAGGATTCTGCTGAATCTTGGGCGCCAGAGACGGAAGGAGCTGCGGCCCAGCAGGAATATAAATTTTTGGATTTGACAAATGAACTTGGAAAAGACCAGACTTGGAAAGGAAAAATTTGGTTTGGTTTGGAAATGGGGGGGTGGATAGACCCCTCTATACAGGGAGATTTGGACTTTTCGAGTCTGGAAAGGGGCTGTCAGATGTCTGGAGCAGTGGGGGCTTTCAACTTTGAAGGAAATCTGGAACATGTTTTTAAATACTACATCAAGTCTAGTCTGGGCTATGGAAAAGGGACTGTTTGGTTGAAAAGGGTCAAAAACATTACCAAGCTGGAGTTCCCACGAATAAAAGGAAAATATGAAGAAGAGCGGTGGAAGGGACATGGAAGAGACTTGAGGGCCTCGGATATAAGATTGCCAGGTTAATGTGCTAGATTAATAGGACAAAAAGGACTGACAAAACCCGGGACCAGGAGGAAGGGACGCTGGAGGAAGTTTGGATTGCTTAAGTTTCTATTTCTATCATTAGGACTGTTTTACAAAATTGATGAATGTTAGGAAAATGTTGAAATGAAATTATTTGGCTCTCATAAAAATGTTTAAAGAATTAGGTAAGAATGTTATGGTTAGGAGAAGTTGGTAAAAATTAAGATTTAAGTTTTAAACTTTTTTTATATATAAGATAAGATGAAAATAGACTAAGGTAATGTAAGGACAGAATATTATGAATTATGGAAAGGATTTGCTGTGACTATTATAAATTAGGATACAGGAAAAGGGAGGAGGAGGAGGTCAAGGAAAGAAGGTATTGAAAGTGGAGAATTGGAGAATGGTGGTTTTACTTTTCTTTTCTTTTTTTTGTCTTGTCTCTTTTTTTGTGTAATTTTAAAAAAATTTCTCAATAAATATCATTTAAAAAAAACAACACAATTTCCATCATCCCTGACCAGTGGTCCTGTTAGCTAGGGATGATGGGAGTTGTAGTCCCAAAACATCTGGAGGGCCAAGTTTTGGGATGCCTGTTCTAAGCTAAAGCCTGCCTTCAGGGATCCAACTGTGAACTGAATGTGAGTAAACTTCTTACTACTTTTAAAAGAAGCTTCTTGTGTCTTCATTCTTTTTAGGAGGGACAAAAGGGGTCTTACCAGGAATATACTCCAATATGAACAAAGCCAGATTGGATTGCTTAAGTAAAGAGATTCAAACAAATCTATCAGCTAGCTTCCTGCTATATATTGGGGAATGCACTCTGTTGCTGACTCAGAAGTGTGTGTGAGGAAGGATATTATTAAATCAATATATCCTCTCCTAGTATCTGCAATGTTCCCACACAGCCCCCTCTTAATTTACCCAAGAATGACCACACCCTTGGCCTGTTGTCGGGTCACAGTCAGGTCACTAATCACAAGACACGAAGGTACAAGAATAAGAGAAGCACAAGCTCCTGATTTTTCTTAAAAGCAATTAAAGGAACTTTATCAGATAGAGGCTTACAGTATACAGTGGTACATTGGGTTAAGTGCTTAATTCGTTCCGGAGGTCCGTTCTTAACCTGAAATTGTTCTTAACCTGAAGCACCACTTTAGCTAATGGGGCCTCCTGCTGCCGCTGTGCCACCGGAGCACGATTTCTGTTCTCATCCTGAAGCAAAGTTCTTAACCTGAAGCACTATTTCTGGGTTAGCGGAGTCTGTAACCTGAAGCATATGTCACCTGAGGTACCACTGTATAGAGAAGAACTGGGAAATCTGGGGCCCTCTACAGATGTTGTTAGACTACAACTCATAGAATCAGAGTTGGAAAGGGACCTCAAGGGGCGTCTAGTCCAGCTCCCATCATGCCTGGCGGGTGTCCTGCTGGTGGGGGCTGATGGGCGTCAGAGTCCAACAACATATCGAGGGTTCGTGGTTCCCCCACCCCAAAATGGAGACATTTGGCAGATGAACACAAAGTTACTGGCCAAGCCCATGACTGAAAAATGAACAGCATTTATCAGGCAAGAAGTTCAGAAACTGTCTCCATATGCAGAATGTTTAGCAACCAAGTTCAACACGCTGTCGTTGTGAAAGGGTCGCCCAATGTGCTGCTGGTTATTTGCGAAGGCGATACTTGCTTTCAACTATTTGGGGGACTGGGGGCGGGCTGGTATGGAGGACTCCCTGAATGGGGTAACTGTGCCCCTGAAGGACCAGGTGCGTAGCCTGGTAGTCATTTTGGACTCACAGCTATCCATGGAGGCACAGGTCTATTCTGTGTCTAGGGCAGCTGTCTACCAACTCCACCTGGTACACAGGCTGAGACCCTACCTGCCCGTGGACTGTCTCGCCAGAGTGGTGCATGCTCTAGTTATCTCCAACTTGGACTACTGCAATGCGCTCTACGTGGGGCTACCTTTGAAGGTGACCCGGAAACTACAACTAATCCAGAATGCGGCAGCTAGACTGGTGACTGGGAGTGGCCGCCGAGACCACATAACACTGGTCTTGAAAGACCCACATTGGCTCCCAGTACGTTTCCGAGCACAATTCAAAGTGTTGGTGTTGACCTTTAAAGCCCTAAACGGCCTCGGCTCAGTATACCTGAAGGAGTGTCTCCACCCCCATTGTTCTGCCCGGACGCTGAGGTCCAGCACCGAGGGCCTTCTGGCGGTTCCCTCATTGCAAGAAGCAAAGCTACAGGGAACCAGGCAGAGGGCCTTCTCGGTAGTGGCGCCTGCCCTGTGGAACGCCCTCCCATCAGATGTCAAAGCGATAAACAACTACCTGACATTCAGAAGACATCTTAAGGCAGGCCTGTTCAGGGAAGTTTTTAATGTGTGACATTTTAGTGTATTTTTGGTCTCTGTGGAAGTCGCTCAGAGTGGCTGGGGAAACCCAGCCAGATGGGCGGGGTATAAATAATAAATCATTATTATTATAAATTATTATTTATGACAAATCCTAAATGGTTTGGGTCAATTTTGAGCTCTTTCTCGATTTCTTCCATACAGACAGGCCGGCAAGAATTGCAAACGTTTTAATCCATAAAAATAAGGGAAGATTGCAAGAGGAGCTGTTCATGGACTCACCTTGGATTTCTGTAGACGCACTACTGTTTGACCACGCTGTCCACTTGTTCCTATACTTGCCAATCTCCTGAACTTTGCAAATATAGTGTCCCTGGTCAGCTTCCTGGAGATTCAGGATAAAAAATGTGTACATCGTCCTATGTCTCTCCTCCAAAAGGTGAAGTCTTTGCTTATAGAACTGGCGGTTGTAATTCCCATAGTACTGGACTACTCCATATTTAGTCATTTTGATCATCAGGTACTCTTGGGTCGGCGGAAGGGCAAAGAGCCACCGGACAGCCAGGAGGTTCTCTATTCGTCTTTTTTGAGACACGTGGCAAAAGAGGGTAGCATTGTCTCCAACGACGTATTGCACTCTGGGTCCCGGAGATACAGTGACATTCAGAGCTTCATAGACACCTGCAAAAGAAAAGATGGGTAAATGCAAGCAGACTCTTGCAAGAGCGTGTGACCTCCATGTACAATAAATGCAAAGCTATTGCTTTAATAAGGGACGCGGGTGGTGCTGTGGGTTAAACCACAGAGCCTAGGGCTTGCCGATCAGAAGGTCGGTGGTTCGAATCCCCATGATGGGGTGAGCTCCCATTACTCGGTCCCTGCTCCTGCCAATCTAGCAATTCGAAAGCACGTCAAAGTGCAAGTAGATAAATAGGTACTGCTCCAGCAGGAAGGTACCATAATTTTTGCACTATAAGACTCACTTTTTCCCTCCTAAAAAGTAAGGGGAAATATGTGTGCGTCTTATGGAGCGAATGCAGGCTGCGCAGCTATCCCAGAAGTCAGAAAAGCAAGAGGGATTGCTGCTTTCACTACGCAGCGATCCCTCTTGCTGTTCTGGCTTCTGAGATTCAGAATATTTTTTTTCTTGTTTCCCTCCTCCAAAAACTAGGTGCGTCTTGTGGTCTGGTGCGTCTTATAGAGCGAAAAATACGGTAAATGGTGTTTCCGTGCGCTGCTCTGGTTCGCCAGAAGCGGCTTAGTCATGCTGGCCACATGACCCGGAAGCTGTACGCCGGCTCCCTCGGCCAATAAGGCGAGATGAGCGCCGCAACCCCAGAGTCGGCCACGACTGGACCTAATGGTCAGGGGTCCCTTTACCTTTACGTTTATTGCTTTAATGGTGAGGATGATGGGGAACAAATCTGTGCATCATTTATAGGGGTTTTACTTTTTCTGAGTAGGATATCCTATTTTCCCAGCACTTACCCTATGGCACAGACTATCAGCTGTCAGCAGCAAAAGGAAAGGCCATTGGATTATGATGACTTCCACATTAGTGTGTGGGCCTTGGTACTGAGTTGTCTAAATGGCACCGAAATTTGTTAGGCTTCTTGTGTCATATCAATGGAAATACATCCATACGTATTTTCTAGTAAAATCAAAATCAGATTTTCTCCTTACACCTGGTACAATCTGTGCTATAACCCTCCAACATTTCTCTAATGAAAAAAGTCCTAATAATAATAATAATAATAACATTTAAAGGACCCAATGAGGTGAGGAGGAAAGTCCTACGATTCAGATGAATCTTGCTTTATTTCAAAATTTAATTGTGCTAAGTGTGTGATTTATTTTGTAAAACCAATGAAAACTATTTCAAAAACAAAAGAAGAATATGCAGCTGTCTCTTACGGGGATCAAACCTGCAACGTGGGCATTGCCAGCACCACACTCTAACCAACTGAGCTCTCCAGCTGTTTCCTCTTCCTGATTTACACTTTTCCTGATTCTGCCTCCTTTCTGAGCCCTTGGCATGTCTGCAGGTGCCCCTCCTTCCTTCCTAGCAACCAGGATGCACCCTTCCTGAGGCAGGTTCATCTGAGGCCATGAAGCTGGTTTCTGAAAATACTACTACGCAATAAGTGCAGGTGGGTGTTAAAAGGATACAGAGACACATAGCAAATGCAAACTGTGGTGATCCATTAGTTCTAAGAGCTTGGAAGAGCGAAGCAAAGAAAAGCTAACTTTCTAAAAGCTCTGAAGAATAATAGCTTGAAACAGTGTTTGGATTCATTCCGGACTGACAAGCTGGCAACTTGATAACATTTCCACCACAGGTAGAGATATTTATTTATTTTTTAAATGATATTTATTGGAATTTTTTTTTTAAAGTTACAAAAGAAAACAAAGTAGAAAAAGAACAAAGAAAGAACAAAGAAAAACACAAACCACATCCAACAATACAAATTCAAAAAAAACAAAAATACACCACAAACATTTAAAAACAAATCCATTATTCTCAAATCCTCAACTGTCATTACCTTCTTTCTTTGACCTCCTCCTCCTCCCTTTTTTGTATCCTAGTTGTTAATTGTTGCAGCAAATCCTTTCCATATTTCATAAAATTCTGTCATTACATTACCTTAAACTATTTTAATCTTATCTTACTATAAAAACCTTGAAACTTAAAACTTAAATCTTATTTTTACCAACTTCTCATAACCATAATATTCTTACATAATTCTTTAAACATTTTTACTAAAGCCAAGTAATTTCATTCCAACATTTTTCTAACATTCATCAATTTTATAAAACAATCCTAGTAGTAGAAAAAGAAATAAAAACAATCCAATCTTCATCCAGCGTCCCTTCCTCCTGGTCCCGGGTTTTGTCAGTCCTTATTATCCCATCGATCTAGCGCATTAACCTGGTAACCTTATATCCGAGGCCCTTAAGTCTCTTCCATGTCCCTTCCGCAGCTCTTCTTCATATTTGTAACTGTATTTTCCCTTGTCTCCTGCTCGTTTCACTCGTGGGAACTCCAGCTTAACAATATTTTTGACCCTTCTCGACAGATCAGCCCCTTTTCCATAATCCACACTAAATTCTATGTGGTATTTAAGAACGTGTTTCAAAATCCCTCCAAAATTAGGAGCCCCCACAATCTCAGACATCTCACGGCCCGTTGCCAGACTTGAAAAGTCCAAACATCCCTGCATAGGGAGGTCTATCCAGCCCCCCATTTCCAAACCAAACCAAACTTTTTCTTTCCAAATCTGGCTTTTTCCAAGTTCATTTGTCAAATCCGAAAGCTCATGTTCCTGTTGGGCCTGTTCTGTCAGGGCACACTCCTGATTTAATTCCTGGGTGGGCTCCACATATTTTCCCACTGCCTGTTCAAAATTTCCCACTGCCTGTTCAAAATTTCTAATCGAATCAGCCATCAAATTCGTCTTCTCATGTAGCTGTTCCAGTAGGGCATTTGTTTTATAGAAAGCACACAACAGAGCTTCTGAATACATTGTCCTGCAAGGTCAGATGTCTATTCCCACGATTGTAATCTGTAACAGCTGCCAGCTCCCCGGAGTTGGTTACAGTTTCACAGTCTCCCTCTAGGGGGAAAACTTCTATTTGTTCTTTCTTTTAAAGACAAGTCTAGCAACAAAGTTTCCTTTTTCAGATATTTTGTCAATATTTGTTCCTTTAAGAAGCGAAGGGGAACAATGGAGTCAAAGTTTCTCTTCTTATAGCTATCTGTCAAAAACGTTGTCTCTGGTCAATGAGATATTATGCAGGTAGAGATATTAAGCAGAACACACACACACACACCTTTGAATGAGTAAGTCATATAGAAGGGCCACTTCAGAGCAACTGCGAGGAAGCAGCTTGGAATCGGATCTGTCCCACAAAAATGTTGTGACACAGATGCAGGGCGGGTAAACTCGCTTATTTGAATAAATAAATGAACTTAAACCTTATTGTTTTTGTTGTACAGTGGTACCTCGGGTTACAGACGCTTCAGGTTACAGATGCTTCAGGGTACAGACTCCGCTAACCCAGAAATAGTACCTCGGGTTAAGAACTTTGCTTCAGGATGAGAACAGAAATCGTGCAGCAGCGGCACAGCCGCAGCGGGAGGCCCCATTAGCTAAAGTGGTGCTTCAGGTTAAGAACAGTTTCAGGTTAAGAACAGACTTCTGGAACGAATTAAGTTCTTAACCCGAGGTACCACTGTACAGCGGAACCTCGGTTGTTGAACGCTTCGGATGTTGAACGTTTTGGTTTTGACTGCTGACAACCCGGAAGTGAATGCTTCCATTTTCAAATTTGCCTCAGATGTTGAACGGCTTCTGAGGCGCGTTTCTCCATTTTTTCAATGGCTTTTGCCGACCGGCAATTGCGCCTAAGTTGTCGAACTTTCAGAAGTTGAACGGTCTTCCGGAACAGATTATGTTCCACAACAGAGGTTCCACTGTATTTAAGTTTGTAAGTGCTACATTTCTCTTAAATAACAACTTAGCTGATATTAAATTGAATATAAGCATATTAGTTCAACAGTAAAGATAAAAGGTAAAGGACCCCCTGGACAATTAAGTCCAGTCAAAGGCAACTATGGGGTTGTGGCGCTCATCTCGCTTTCAGGCCGAGGGCATTTGTCCACAGACAGCTTTTCCGAGTCATGTGGCCAGCAGGACTAAACCACTTCTGGTGCAACGGAACACCCTGACGGAAACTAGAGCGCACGGAAACACCATTTACCTTCCCGCCGCAGCGGTACCTATTTATCTACTTGCACTGGCGTGCTTTTGAACTGCTAGGTTGGCAGGAGCTGGGACAGAGCAACAGGAGCTCACCCCGTCGTGGGGATCTGAACTGCCAACCTTCTGATTGGCAAGCCCAAGAGGCTCAGTGGTTTAGACCACAGCGCCACCCGCATCCCACTTCAACAGTAATGCCTGCACATAACACTGAGCTCACTGGGCACACGTCCATGCGGCGGGAATGCAGCCTACTGTGAAATAAATATATGTGTCACATTGATTGCTCTGCCTGCTTTTTGCCAACCTAGCAGTTCAAAAGCACACCAGTGCAAGTAGATAAATAGGTACCACTCCGGCGGGAAGGTAAATGGCGTTTCCGTGCGCTGCTCTGGTTCGCCAGAAGCGCTTTAGTCATGCTGGCCACATGACCCGGAAGCTGTACGCCGGCTCCCTCGGCCAATAAAGCAAGATGAGCGCCGCAACCCCAGTCGGCCACGACTGGACCTAATGGTCAGGGGTCCCTTTACCTTTACCTATGTAGGCCTTATTGCTTTCTCTGGCTCTTACAGCTGCTTATCTTCTGCTTGTAGGCTTTCAGCCAGAAAACTTCTGCCAGTTAATGCCAGATACTCCTCATTCTCCACTTCTGACACCATGTAACATTCCCAAGGATGAGGAGTTTTATAAAAGAAGTTCTAAGGCCCTCTGCGAGAACTGAATCTCAAGGCCTAACAAAAACAAAACAGTTTGACTTCCTCCTATTCCCTTCCTTAGTTCCATTCTATATCAATGTACTACATGTCCATTGTAAAGTTCTAACCATTTGAATTACTTATCGTCCATTCATAATAAAATTACAAGTATTCTTAAAACCCTGCCAGAGTATTGACCTGTGTACATTGCTTCTGTATATATACGATAAAGTCCTTCTATTCTTCCTTAATGGGATGTAGGTGGCGCTGTGGGTTAAACCACGGAGCCTAGGACTTGCCGATCAGAAGGTCGGCGGTTCAAATCCCCGCGACAGGGTGAGCTCCCGTTGTTTGGTCCCTGCTTCTGCCAACCTAGCAGTTCAAAAGCACGTCAAAGTGCAAGTAGATAAGTAGGTACCGCTCCGGCAGGAAGGTAAACGGCATTTCCGTGTGCTGCTCTGGTTCGCCGGAAGCGGCTTAGTCATGCTGGCCACATGACCCAGAAGCTGTACACCGGCTCCCTCGGCCAGTAAAGCGAGATGAGCGCCGCAACCCCAGAGTCGGCCACGACTGGACCTAATGGTCAGGGGTCCCTTTACCTTTACTTTAAGGCAGGGATCGGCAAGATTTACCTCGCCTGGGCTGGTTCACGCCTGCAGAGATTGCTCCGTCGGCCGGATTCCGTCAGCGCAGATGCGATTTCCGGCGCTGCAGACGTGAGTCTCTGCACTGCACCAGTTTAGCACAGCGCGTGGGGACTTGCCGAGAGGGTGGCTCGGTTGGGGGGGGGCTCAGAGGCCATTGAAACGACCCCCGTGGGCTGCTTGTGGCCCATGGGCCGCAGGTTGCTGACCCCTGTCCTAAGGAAAAGCGGGACATTCCAGAATAAAACCGGGATGGCTTCCTTAAATACGGGACTGTCCCTAGAAAATAGGAACACCTGGAGGGTCTCCTAAGTCATAGTTCACACTAACCACAATTCCCAGTTCAGACAAAACAACTAACTCATGCACACAAATCTGCTTTTTAGCGTTAGGCACGAACCCGAGAAATCTCTAAACTGAGCTAGGTACATAAAAAAGTTTCCTTAAGTCCAGTGTTAAATGAACAGTCCACTCGGTCACGTATCAAATATGAATATTTACATTCTGTCTACCAAACATATGTAGCAAGCACAAGGAAGCAGATATGAGGATATTTTGTTTCACCTAATGAGAACAAGCTGCTCTCATCTGGCAACAGCTATCAAACCCCCTTTCAACCTCTCAGTTGTGGCGATTTCATTTCTTGTGAGCATGGAGCCAACCAGAAAGGAGCCGCAATGGGAAGAAGATGACAGATTGCTTTATGCACAGGCTCCTATATTGCATGAACTGTTACGGTTGCTGACTGAGAAAAGGTCATATATGGGAAAATTTTAATTTGCCTCCTGGGTAAAAACAAACAAACTTACCTATAAGCAATGTGTGTGTGTGTGTGTGTGTGTGTGTAAAAATCAAGTTATTAAAAAAATTATATGTAGCGTTCCCATGGCCCCTTTAAAATGGTGTCATGTACTGTAAATTATATTCTATTTAGTTGTAAGTTAACACTGTTCAAGGAAATACACAATGGGAAACTTACACATTTTTTTTCTTAGAAACAGATGGAAAAATCCCAAGAAACATGTGGGCTGCAGTCTAAAAACTGACATCACTTTTGACTTGTAAACTCTTACAAACCAACTCTTACGAACCAACTCATCACTGTACATATCGCTGCTCCTAAATTTCATGAATAGTGTTGAGCCATTTACAGGGAAAGCAAAGTTGAAGCCATTGCCAGCCCGGAAAAAGAGACGTCCCTGGGAATTTGATGTTGTTTAAATTTGTAGACCACCCTATACCCATAGTTCTCAAGGTGGTAACATAAAATCCCAATATAAATACACAAAATACATAATAAAAACAAAAACAAACAACCCCAACACATTTTAAAAGGGCATTGGATGACAATCAACCAAAGGCCGGGTTAAAGAGGAACATTTTTGCCTGGCGCCTAAAGGTGTATAATGAAGGCACCAGGCAAACCTCCCTGGGGAAAGCGTTCCAGAGAAGAGGAGCCACTGCAGAGAAGGCCCTGTTCTCGTGTTGCCACCCTCTGGACCTCTCGTGGAAGGGGCACACGAAGAAGGGCCTCAGAGGATGATCTCAGGGTCTGGGTAGGTTCATGTGGGGAAGGCCTCGCCCTCCCAGCCAGAATTAAGACCTGAGGCTTACGTGGGATAAATTAGCAAGAATTTTGCTACTTAACAGATGAGATTGGGAGTGTTCAGGGTAGTATGGCCCTTATTGAAGGTCGATACAGGAAGACTGACTACCCAGAGAGAAAATGCCCCTGTGACTCGGGACAAATGGAAACAGTAGAGCATGTCCTCCTCCAGTGCCTATATTACAGAGACATTCGTACTAGCCTGATTTCCCCACTACTCCATAAGTACCCAGCGCGCACAGGGCAATTCTATACCTCCCTGCTGCTCTCAGGTACCAATCCTGCTACCACATACAATGTTGCCAGATTCTGCACAGCAGCGCTCACAATTTTTATGCTCTTCCACACCCACCCAATGCTCCTAGCCCTTCTTTCAGATTCTTTTAGCTTATTTTAAATTATTATAGACTTTTATATTCACCTTCTGCTTTAATACCTTTTAGCTTTCCAAAATGCTTTTCAGATTTTAAATGACTGTATCCCACCCTTTTGGAACGTGGGTGGCGCTGTGGTCTAAACCGCTGAGCCTTGGGCTCGCCTATCAGAAGATCGGTGGTTCGAATCCCCGCAACGGGGTGAGCTCCTGTTGCTTTGTCCCAGCTCCTGCCCACCTAGCAGTTTGAAAGCATGGCAAAAAGTGCAAGTAGATAAATAGGTACTGCTCCAGCGGGAAAGTAAACAGTGTTTCTGTGCGCTGCTCTGGTTCACCAGAAGCGGCTTAGTCATGCTGGCCACATGACCCGGAAAAACTGTCTGTGGACAAACACCGGCTCCCTCAGCCTGTAAAGCGACATGAGAGCCACAACCCCAGAGTCATTCGCGACTGGACTTAACTGTCAGGGGTCCCTTTACCTTTACCTTTACCTATCCCACCCTTTTATGCTCGTCTATGGCTGTAATAAAGATGTGAATTGAATTGCTACTTAACAAGCAGCAAATATCCCGTATTTTTCACTCTATAAGTTGCACCAGACCACAAGACGCACCTAGTTTTTGGAGAAGGAAAACAAGAAAAAAAATATTCTGAATCCCAGAAGCCAGAACAGCAAGAGGGATCGCTGCACAGCAAAAGCAGCGATCCCTCTTGCTGTTCTGGCTTCTGGGATAGCTGCGCAGCCTGCATTCACCCCATAAGACGCACACACATTTCCCTTTACTTTTTAGGAGGGAAAAAGTGAGCCTTATAGAGCAAAAAATACGGTAACTTCAGGCTCTGAGTGCCAAACCAGACAACTGACCAATATGTGCTTGTGCTTGCCTCCCCAAAAATATTCAGAGGGGTCACCTGACATGCCACCATGGCTGGAATGTCCCTAGATGTGATGAGGCAGACAGAGCCTCCCCAGTCCTTCAATCAAACCACAGGTACATTGCAGGGGTAGGATGGAGTAAGAAATTGAAGAGCGACTATTCACATTAATTTTATCTTGCATCTCCTTTTGCACTTCCAAGGGAGACTATACCTAGTGTGAACACAAATGCTAGAATTTGTGGCAAAACCGGCTTGCAAATTCATTATGCCACTTCAAGGAAAACAGTGGCGGCAGCAGTAACAACAACAACAATGCCAGCCCGTTATCTATTTTGTACGTCAAAGTTTGCCAAGAAACACAAAAGTTGCATCCCCAAGAGTACCATGCATAGGTTACTACAGAAGAAAGTTTGCAGGAAAAAACTGACGTGTCCTTCCAGAGGGGCTGAATGCAAGGGGGAAAGTAAAGGTAAAGGGACCCCTGACCATTAGGTCTAGTTGCGGATGACTCTAGGGTTGCGGCGCTCATCTCGCTTTATTGGCCAAGGGAGCTGGCGTACAGCTTCCGGGTCATGTGGCCAGCATGGCGAAGCCACTTCTGGCGAACCAGAGCAGCGCACGGAAACACCGTTTACCTTCCCGCCAGAGTGGTACCTATTTATCTACTTGCACTTTGATGTGCTTTCGAACTGCTAGGTTGGCAGGAGCAGGGACTGAGCAACGGGAGCTCACCCCGGTGCGGGGATTCGAACCGCTGACCTTCTGATCGGCAAGTCCTAGGCTCTGTGGTTTAACCCACAGCGCCAGCAGGCAGTGGGTATGTGATCCCGGGAAAGCCAGGGCCAATCACAGCTCTCCAGTCGGTGCCTCTGTGCCCAGAGTGTGCATTTGCCCTTCTCACAATGTATTCTCCTGCGGAGGAAAAATCCCAGGAACTTACAGCAAACAGGATTGTATAATAAAAACATGAGGTGGCATTCCACACTCTTAAATTTAGTCCCATATGGGTTTTCTTGTTCAGAAAGATGCATATTATCACCCTCTACTCCAATCCTGTTTATTCAACTTGGTTGTTGTTTTTTATTGCATTTACGGTTCTCACCCACCATTTTGCACATTGATTTATCCGTGTGTCATATTAAGAGGATTGATTGACAAACGTATATACCTGTAAAACAGGGGTGCCAGCTTGAATAAAATATCAGGGAGGCGGGCCCAGGTAAGACCCGCCCCAAAGAATTGATCACAAGACTCAGCGCACCCCCACCCCCACCCATTTGAATGACGATGGCCATCCACTTTGAAGGGGCCTGGCCCCCTCAAATATTTTACCGGGGGGCCGGAGAGACCTCAGTGCCTAGGAGTTGGCTCCTATGCTATAAAACTAGCACGCTCCCATTTACAGATCTGTCACTTATCGATGCCATCGGAACAGTTCGCGCGTCACCCCGCCCCTTCGCTTGCACCCAAACCCCTTTTGAGCAGATCTGGCGCCCACCTCAGTTCACTTTTCTTGGAGGGGGCGGCAGCAAACAGGCGCTGCGCAGAGGTCGTCGGGAGGATGCGAGGGGGCCGCCACGACCAACTTTCCAAGCAGATCCCTTCCCTCTGCCCTCGGCAGCCTTGGCTCGCCTCCCAGGCGGACGCCGTCGCAGCTGCTGCCCTGGGCGCCTGGCAGGAGAGCAGCAGCAGCTGCGCCCGCCCCGTCCAAGAAGCGCAGAGGGCGCCGGATGGCGGATCCGGGAGACGGTTGCTGGAAGGGACGGGGCGGTAATAGGGGAGAGCTGTGGGTGGTGGGTGGGGGGAGGAAGAAGAGAGGGAGGGAGAGTCGAGGAGGGGGAATCCCCGGTCCCGATCGACGTGCGCCCTCTTACCTGGTGCGCCAACCCAACCAAGAAGCATCAGGACCAGGAGACGCATCGCCCGCGGCAGGAGGAGGGCGATGGGTGGAAGGAAACAAGGGCCGGGCTCCCGACCGCCCTTCCCGTCGTGCTCGCCCGGACTCTCCGTGCCCGCCGGCCGCTTCTCCCCTTCCCTTCCCGCCCCGGCCTTCCCTTTCTCCGTCCCGCGCGGCTCAGGCTTTCTGCTTCGGCCGGAGCAAGCGCCAGCAGCACGGCAGCAACAGTTTCCCGAGACCGCCCCGTCGGGGAGGCCCCAGAAGTCCCGGAAAGTCACGCCTGCCCAGCCAGCCCCCCAGCTCCCACCCTACAGCTCCGCGAGGAGGCGGGGCGAGATCGTCTCTTAAAGCGGCTGTTTAGGAAAAGGACCCAAACGCCGCCCTTCTCCCTCCCCCACGGGGAGGGGGGTTTAGCTGGAGCCTCTCTTGCTTGGGCAGAAATAGCACAGGGAGAGCCAGGGGCGCATCGCCAGGGAAGCGAGCCAGTTCTATCGGCAGACGCGCTAGCCGAGCGCAGGACGCAGGGCGCGTTAACTGCGCGCACCTGCGAGAGATCTCTCGCGCAGCTGCTTCTCCCAGGGTGGGGTGGGTTGGATTGGGTGAATGTGTCAGGCCAGCTCGCCGCTTCTTACAGCATCCCCTCCCCGCTCTCGCTCCAAACTTGAGCGCACCTGGTTTCCAGGTGACTCACCTGTAGCAGCGGCAGACAAGCGCAGCCTCTGGGGCGCCCGCTGGAGAGGGAGCAGGGACGTAGAAGGCATTTGGAAAGGGAACGTAGTGGGCTTGGAAAGGGTTAAGTAGTGTTAGCCTACTATTTCCACCCTTCCCCGTCCTTAATTTCAGATCTTTGTGTCCCAGGTAGCGATAGCCCACTCATGAGGCAAGGTGAGGCGAGGGACTCGGGTGGTAACATTCAAACGGGTAGCAGATCCTGGTGTAATTAAAAAAAAAAGTATTATTATTTATTGTATTTTTTTGAAATTATGTCGTTTTCAAAAGTTTACACACTTAGCCATCAACAATACTGTTAATTTATGGATAGACTTCCCATTTCCCCCATTCTATGTTTATCTTTTAATGCTGCATATTTTAACTTATAACATGAGTTGTTAGCCTTAATATCTTTCTGGTGTTGCTCATGTTTCAAATCCTGCTTGCGTTTTCATGTAACTGTAACAGTTCTTTCGATAAGCTACAAAAAGTTTCCAGTCCAGCATGGCCTCATTTTGTTATCTAATTTTTGCCATTAGCTTTGCCAGTTCCACATACCCCCCCTCATTTTGATAAGACATTCTTCCTTTGTTGGAACCTCGTTCTCTTTCCATTCTTGAGGATCCTGGGGTAGATTTTTATTCCTGCCTTGCGGAGGGTTGGACTAGGTGACCCTTGGTGTCCCTTCCAACTCTACAGCTCTGTGATTGCAACCCCCCTTTGTTCCTGATATCAATCTTCACTCACCTCCTTCATCGCCACTTTATTTGCCTTGAGTGCCAAAAGTCTTGAGGTGGCCCTGCTTTTAGGTAGTCTGACCCAGTGTGGTGTAGTGGTTAAGAGCAGTGGACTCGTAATCTGGTGAACCGGGTTCACTTCCCCGCTTCTCCACATGCAGCTGCTGGGTGACCTTGAGCTACTCACACTTCTCTGAAGTCTCTCAGCCTTACTCACCTCACAGAGTGTTAATAATAATAATAATAATAATAATAATAATAATAATAATAATTCATTATTTATACCCCCCCCCCAATCTGGCTGGGCTTCCCCAGCCACTCTGGGCGGCTTCCAACCAAAGATTAAAATACAGTAATGCATCAAACATTAAAAGCTTCCCTAAACAGGGCTGCCTGCAGATTTCTTCTAAAAGTCTGGTAGTTGTTGTTCCCTTTGACATCTGGTGGGAGGGCGTTTCACAGGGCGGGTGCCACTACCAAGAAGGCCCTCTGCCTGGTTCCCTGTAACTTGACTTCTCGCAGTGAGGGAACCACCAGAAGGCCCTCAGTGCTGGATCTCAGTGTCTGGGTAGAACGATGGGGGTGGAGACATTCCTTTGTTGTGGGAGAGGAAGGGAAAGGAGATTGTTAGCCGCTTCGAGACTCCTTAAGGTAAAGGTAAAGGGACCCCTGACCATTAGGTCCAGTCGTGGCCGACTCTGGGGTTGCGGCGCTCATCTCACTTCACTGGCCAAGAGAGCCGGTGTACAGCTTCATGTGGCCAGCATGACTAAACCACTTCTGGCAAACCAGAGCAGCGCACGGAAACGCTGTTTACCTTCCCACTGGAGCGGTACCTATTTATCTACTTGCACTTTGACGTGCTTTCGAACTGCTAGGTTGGCAGGAGCAGGGACCGGGCAAAGGGAGCTCACCCCGTCGTGGGGATTCGAACCGCTGACCTTCCGATCGGCTAATCCTAGGCTCTGTGGTTTAACCCACAGCGCCACCTGCATCCCTTGAGACTCCTTAGGGTAGTGATAAACTCTTCTTCTTCTCTACCCTCCTCCCAAGTAAAGAGGAGACTCTTCTTCCTTGGATTTGGAGAGGAGCAGTAAGTGGAGAGGACCACACATCCTTACCCAGTAGTTAACCTGCACTTTGGTGTTGAGTTATTCCCAGGTGGATTTCCATCTTCCAAGTAAATGTGTGAAGGCTCAGGGAACTGAGCAAAATTTGTATCAGTTCATTTTTAAAAGTGGGTGCCAAGCAGCCGGGACACTGAAGAGGAATGCTTTTCTGCAAATCTAACTTTTGCAGAGCCTCTGTAGATTCTGTGACGCTTCCATCTGCAAAGAGTTAGCTGCACGCTCGTGCCATAAGAACCTGGAGTTTCCTGTCACATGTCTGTGTGGCAGAATAGTTGCATGTGTGTGTGTGTGTGTGTTTGCCACATGTGCTGGTGGGCCGCTGGTGAGTAACAAAAGGTCTTCTGAATGTTCTCTGAGGCATTCTCATATTTCATGCATTCCACGGCTGGGACTCTCATTCCGGGGATAGAGAGCTGGGGCTGCTTGCCTTAAATGCTGATCAAGGGAGCATACACTAAACATAGAAATTATCCACTGCCGCCACAGCATAGGAAAATATTGTGGAAAGGAGTAATTTGAGTGAGGATTGGTAATCACAACGTTTGGTGCAGCAACTGCACATTCTTTCTGTCAAAACCACATGATTCTCTTTGTGTGGGGAAGACCTCTCTGGTCTCACTGGATCTGCTAGCAGATCAAAGTTGAATGTCCATTTTCCAGCATGAAATTGAGGACTGGGGATCCTGTCAGCCCCGTACTTAAAAACACTGACTCACAATATGGCGTAGGGTGTCTTCTCGTCTAGAAGATGCTACTCCAGGACTGAATGCAGTCCAGCTGGAACAATTTCCCCCCCTTGGGGGCAGGTGGGGGGGGCAGAAACTCTAAGAGGAGGCAGAAACACTAAGCACACATTGTACAAAAATGTTTGAGGGTACCACTTATAACCTGAAGGGAAAGTAGCTGATCAGTGTGGCTGGTGCGAGGAGAGCAAACAGGAAATAGCTGCCTTCTGCCTCTTTCCCTGCCCAGCCAGGGCCTGAGTTGGGGCTTGACATGGTCAGATGAGCTCACCACCAGCCCTGCTGGCAATGTTCGAAATTAGCCTGGAGCCAGGCACATTTTTCACCTGGCTATTGTCCACACAGCGGGACGCGGGTGGTGCTGTGGGTTAAACCAAGACATCGGTCTTGCCGGTCAGAAGGTTGGTGGTTCGAATCCCCGCAACTGGGTGAGCTCCCATTGCTCGGTCCCTGCTCCTGCCCACCTAGCAGTTCAAAAGCATGTCAAAGTGCAAGTAGATAAATAGGTACCACTCCGGCGGGAAGGTAAACGGTGTTTCCGTGCGCTGCTCTGGTTCGCCAGAAGCGGCTTAGTCATGCTGGCCACATGACCCGGAAGCTGTACGCCGGCTCCCTCAGCCAGTAAAGCAAGATGAGTGCCTCAACCCCAGAGTCATCCACGACTGGACCTAATAATCAGGGGTCCCTTTACCTTTATCTTTATTGTCCACATGCGACCAAGTGAAGATGTCTGAGTGCCAGGATGGTGCCTGACATCTCCATCATCTGGAGGTGCTTGCCTGGGGGTCACTGTTTTCACACTAATACCTCATCCTGTAGAATTTTGTCAGATATATTTTTCCTCCAAGTTCTTAACCCATGAAGGTTGTCATCCGAACTAGCCGGATGTTTAACTGAGAACCAATCACAGTCAGTCCATCATTTGAAAAATAAGACTTTACAAAAATGGGAAGTAGGCGTTCAGTTTTGGTGACCTTGGTTTAAGGAGCCATTTGGCACATAGCTTCTATATCTGAGTTTCCAACACTGCCTGCTGGTACCCATCCTGGCATCAGGGCTGCTTGCTGCCAGCCATTTGCCTCTCTCCATCCTACAGTCACGTCTTACCCAATTTGGGTCGTTATTCTGAGAGTCATCTCCAAGCCAGTGCCAAGATGTTCAGAGTACAGTATCTGGGTGGGCAAATCCGGGAATGATCTGCTCCACCCAACTCACTCACACCAAGTCTCCATAATGCACACCAACTTGACCTCCTCATCTCCGATCAAATTTCGGATAAGCTGTTTTGATCAATTTCCCCTGACATGGTAGGGATTCATGGTCCTCTTTTCGATTTCAATTACGATTACTGTATCTAGATTATGCGCCCAAATTACAGCCCCAGTTATAATGTTTTTTAGGCTGGTTTGTTCTGTGTTTAAAGAAATTGTCACGATACGTCTTACAGCTTATTTTGTGTACAGATAGGAATGGCCGTTCATTTGACAATATACCATAGCTGAGAACTATTTGGAGAGCTGAAAAGCTAATAAAATATCTGGATAAGTGAGATCTTATAATGGACCAGGTAAAGCTAAAGGGACCCCTGACCATTAGGTCCAGTCGTGACCGACTCTGGGGTTGCGGCGCTCATCTCGCTTTATTGGCCAAGGGAGCCGGCATACAGCTTCCGGGTCATGTGGCCAGTATCACTAAGCCGCTT